GCACTGTAGAAAAGTAAGTGATACACCCACTTCGAATCGCAGTATGCTATAACTGTAAAAACAGCCTTAAAATCCAAGAGGCAAATGAGCCTTCCAACATAATCTCATTCTATTTCTTCATGTAATACGTCTTTTCAGAATGTTGATTACCATCATAGCTATCTTAATTTTATTCACAGCCACACTAAATAGCAAGCTTGTATCAATACCATACCAATCTTGCAAGTTCTTCAACCATGAAGTCTTTCTTTATCCTGGACTGCATTTGCTTGCTATTGTATACTTTGCCATTGTATACTTTGTAGCAACCTATATTTGGGACCTTTTACTACATGTCCAAAGCTCTCCAGCTTTCTCTTCTTGATGCCTTTTATAATCTTAATAGTCTTGTTGAGAAATTCTAGTATTGTAGAGTTTCAAAATCTTCTCCATCTAAGAAACTTTTAAAATGTTTTTCACTTGAGGTGATTTTTATCACTTTTATTCACAGGTCGAAGAGAAAACATGTAGCAGTGAAGTAGACAGATCCACAATGTCAATTTTAAGTCTCTGTTATATAATACCTTGGACATCGTTCTAAAAGTGACTGTAGCATGCTCAATTCTGGATTTAATTTCATCTTCACTCTCTGTCTTACAATTTAAGTGATATCCTATGTAAACAATGTGATCAACTTGCTCAAGTTTGATACTATTTACATATATAGTCGGTTTTATATTCTTGAATTAATAAACACTATATAATTTGTTCTTTGTTTGACAAAATAATCCTTACAACATATACAGTATATTCAATATCTATAATTAATTCATTAAACATTTAAAATCAACTATTTTTTTAAACCTACTTGTTGTGCATGTGTATTCTCTAACCTAAGTAATAATAAACAAACGTTATTAACAACAAATTAATTTGTTATCACGCTATTGCACTAATCAGTGTTATTTACTTACTTTCTTCATTTGTTGTGTGCTTTTCTTCAAATGCTGTAAATTTATATTCATCCTGTTCTATGTCATTGTTGATCGGGAATTCAATTAAATCTAAATGGTCTAAATCATCAAATTCATCGTAGATACTTTCTATCTTGGGTTCTTTCTTGATATTAATTTTGAAGTCATCCAAAGTACCATTACACGCCTCATAATCTATTACTATTTTATTAATAACCTCACTATCTTCTTGTTTTATTTCCATATTATTGATTTTATGTATAACAATAATTTCAGTTTTATGTTTACAGCGAAAAAACAAAATCACTGTATAAATCCATTTATTTTAGAAAAATAAAAAACTATTTATCGTATTGCTTTTGTGTGTATATGTAAATTTATCTAATTTCAAATTTGTTCTAAATAAAAATAATGTTTTGACAGGACAAGAGATCATTTAGAAAATGGCCGCAAATGTCAAATGTCAACCATGAAACAGAGAACTACGAAACAGTTCTCTGCATGAAATAAAATATTTTTTAATGATTTGCCCATAGGATTTTCATCCATCATGTTTTTCGTACTGAAAGATAGATAAAGTTGCTTACAAAAGAAATAAATACTTGACGGCATCACGAATGTTTTAAAATTATAAACAATTTTTTGGCTTATAAACAAATAAAAATATCTCGGTAACTATTACCTTAAATTAACTTCAAGAAACGGCGTTGAAAAATACTCGGCAAAACGTTTCCTATAAAAAAAGTTACGATTAGTGGTTCCTGAGATACAACCAGGTTTACCAGCATTTACGACAAAGTTATAAACAATAGGATAATAATCTTTAAACCGTTAAATTTTAATTCCGGTGCTCTTTCTCGATGACAATTATTTTTGTATCATCAAGATATTTATAACATACAGAAATCGGGATTGAACATGAAAAATACTAAAAAAGTAATGTAGGTGAATCAATCTAGAATTAGCAGACTTTGATTTGGATTTTTTTTATTGAGTTTAATGCGTGTCCAACTAATGGTCATTGGCATGGTACAGTGAATTTTTACAGTCAGGTACCTAGTGTAGTTTGTGTGTGTGTAGGTGTAGAGTAATTGTCTTATACTTAGCAAAGTCGACGTCATTGTCTTTAAGAGAAGATAATTGTATCCGAGCGTCTGCGGTCCCTCCGGTGAGTACCGATCGCACAAGGATAGAAATTATTTTCATTCATTAATTTTTAATAAACGACAATTTCTCCACCCAGGTGAGATTCGAACTCACGACCTTTACGTTCATAGGTAGGCGCTCTTACCACTGAGCGATTTGGAATTTCAGACTGTAAGACTTTAAGAAGAGTTGGTAGAAAAATCATCAATGTGTAAAATAATTTCCAGTTTCTTTGCGTGATACCCTTTTTCCGATAAGTATTATAAAAATTCAGTGATCTTCAAAAGATCCTAAAGTGGGTTCCAGCAAGGTTTCATCATTTTTTTTTCAGACACAAGTACATAAAGAAATAATTCAGAAACGTACTAAAGATTAGAGGCTGTAGCTCTGCGTATGTTTCTTTTTAAATCGTTATTTTTTATCAAGTAGTACTCCATAAAATTTTTGTGTTTTTTTTTTGTTTTAATAAAAGTATAGTTGCGTTACAGCCGTTTCTGTGTTTTCCTTCAATTCAATGTTTAAAAAGTTATCTCTAGTATTATTGGCTTTGTTACACTTCTTTATAATATTTTTAATGTATATTCAAACCTCTCCTTATTTTTGTAAAATAGGTCTGATTTTTGGTAGTAAAGCTCCTTATTTGCCATACGCTAGGTTGAAGATTAATATTAAGTCAGAGAGAATAATAATTTAAGGGTCGTCTGCGCATACCAGACGGCTTCGACTGTAGCTCTACAGGTCATAGGGGGAGTACCTCCAATTCACTTGCAGGGCAAAGAAAGATCGAGCACATAAAACACGAATAGCCAGGAAAAGAAAGAAGAAAGATGGGAAACAATACGAATGTAGCAAGAAGAATGGGAAAGTGACCGAAGGGCTACGTAGACAAGGGTGCTATTCCGGGATGTCCAGAAGCAGATTAATTGAAGTTACAAGATCACGAACTACTTCTTTACACAATATCTAATGGGCCATGGATCGTTAAGGGGCTATCTCGAAAAAATAGACACAGTAACGGATAGTAACTGTACGGACTGTGGAGTTAATGACACAGCGGAGCATTGTGTATTTAAATGTAATATATTCAATGAAGATAGAACCGAAATGTACGCCAAAGTAGGCATATTCAGAGCACAAGACATAATGACGGTTATGGGAAATATAAAGAATGATTTTAAGGATGTTTTGAATGCAATAACAAAAATTATAAAAAGGAAAGAAAATCTAGAAAGAGAAAGACAACAAGGACAAATTAATATAAATTAAATATAAAATATAAACATAAAGATAAATAAAAAGAAGAGACATGGGAGGCTCCGCGCGCGATTGTATGGCTTGAAAAGACGTGCCACGCGGGTCAGCAGAGAGTGGTTTTAGTTGGTAGGGACGGTACCATGGATACATCCGGGAGCAAGACCTCCCAAAAGGAAAAATGCGTTCGGATGTACTCCATCTACTCTGACTCCAATTTACGTAAAGTACGATTCACCTGGTATGGTATTTAAAAGATTTCTAATCTCACACACAAAATAAACTCCTTTTTATGTAACAATAAATCACTGAAAACTTTGTTTTAAAACTTCCACAAAATTTATTTTAAATCTTATCACTACAGCTGTTTCGGCTGATAGCCTTTCTCAAGTGATCTATTTTTGGCTTGGGTTTACAAATTTATAGTCTCTAATGAAATAAGTTGAGGAGGAGAGAACTGTTTGTCTCAAGTTGGTCATTCAGAATTATATCTGTGTGTTTTAATTTGTTGATTTCCATAGATTCTAACAAAGATAGCTTAAGGCCTTTATTTTGAATGTGAAGAATTTTAAATTTGTCATTAAAAGAATGATTATGATCTAGAAGGTGAAGTGCGTATGTCGAATCTGTTTTTCTATTCTTGAAAGCCCTTTTATGTTCTGCTATTCGTTTATCAAAGTTTGTACCAGTTTGACCGATGTAAGTTTTTGGGCAGTCGCCACATTGAAGTTTGTACACACCACTATTTAAGTGTTTTTTATTTTGGCTCTTGTTATTTTTAATATATTTGCCTAGGTTGTTATTTGTTCGGAAAGCTGGTGTTATTCCTTTCTTTTTTATGTTTTCAGTGCTTTCTTGTGTAGTTTTTGATTTAACATTTTATTAATTGTTTGTTCGTTGTATCCGTTGTTTACTGCTATTTGCTTAATTATATTTAATTCTGTCTCAAAGTTGTCTTTTGACATCGGAATTTCTATTAATCTATGTAACATACTATGATAAGCAGCCAGTTTATGTTATGTTGGATGGGATGATGAATTGTGTATAGTCGTGTCAGTATGGGTAGGTTTATGAAATATGGAGAAGTCATGTTTGTTTTTAAGTGTGATAATTTTTATATCTAAAAAGTTTATGGATTGATTTTGTTCTGTTTCTATTGTAAATTCAATATGACTATGAAGTGAATTAATATACGATAAAAATTGATCGAGTTGCCTGTTAGTAATAAATTTGTAAACCCAAGCCAAAAATAGTTCACTTGAGAAAGGCTATCAGCCGAAACAGCTGTAGTGATAAGATTTAAAATAAATTTTGTGGAAGTTTGAAAACAAAGTTTTCAGTGTTTTATTGTTACATAAAATGAATTTCCATCAAGTAACGGTCGAATCCATCAATTATTTAAACTCCTTTTTGCTGAAGTCTTCAATTATTATACAATCAGTGTAATGTATTACACCGTTTGGTATATTTAAGATTTAAGAATAAAATTGTGTCATACTAATATAATATAATATAATCACACGAAAGGTAATAAATATCGCATGCCTATCTAAATTCGTTTGCTCTTTAACCCCTAAATATAGTTTAGAATGAATTGATAAAGTTATCAATATTATAATATTATGATAGAACCATATTTTTCAAGAATCTCTTGAAGTGAAAGGTTGTAGGTTATTTAAAGTAATTAGTAAGTTACTAAATTAAGTAGTTGTAATGTTAACAATCACTATAAGAGAAGGTCAAGAATAATTCAATAATAAATAAATGGTGATTTTTAAAAGTAGAGGTAAGATTTGAATGCTGTTTATAAAGTTATAGTAAATAATACTATTAGTACCTAGCTAAAAAAAAATTGATTTATCTTTAAAAATCGTAAACTGGATTAATGGATATGTTTTCACGGCCAAAGTTTGGATCGGCTTCTAAAAGGGATCAAAATTAAGTAATTATAAGTTTTCTTCTATTGGTAAAGATCTGAAAATTGTGGGTTTATTATTAAAATTAACTTGGTTTTGTCCTGTACGGTTGTTCTTTTAGTTTAATTTCTTTCAGAATTTTCCTTTATTTATTTTCTGAAATATCTTTGAGGAGAAATAGTATTATATTTTTTCATCTTATTCGCTAACTTGATACAGGTATCATGTTATCATGAGTTATCATGTTGATATTCCTCCATTTTTTTAACCTTTAACAAAACAAACAAAAATTAAGGCTTTTTAATACTCTGAAAAAAGTGCTTTTGATCTTACTTTGCAATTTATACTTTGCAATACCTTGATCAAATTGAGTAGATCTCTCTCAGTATTTGCCTTTCTTAAGACTTCCTCGTTTTTCACCCTATCTGTCTATGGTATGCAGAACATTATGTTTTCAGTTGATCGATTGGAGTATTGGAGTAACTGCATATCGTGTTCGTCGTCTGTTATTATCGCGGTGTCGTCGGCGTAACGAATGTTATTTATCGGAAACCCGTTTACCTTTATTCCACACTCAGAGACTTCCAGTGCCTCTGCAAAAATGTTCTCCACATAGAGATTGAAGAGCATAGGAGACAAAATACACCCCTGTCGCACTCCTTTTAAAATTTCAAATTCTTCTGTTGGTTGATTTGTTTAGTCTTACTCGTGCTTTTTGATTCCAATAGAGATTTTGGATAACTCTTATATCTTTCTCGTCAATGTTAGTGTTGTGTAGCATTTTTATCATTGCGTCATGTTTTACGGTGTCAAACGCTTTTTCATAATCGAGGAATGTTATGACTATATCCTTTCGTGTTGATCCATGCAGTTTTGTTCAAGCGTATTCAAGCAGAAAGCTGCTTCCAGTGGCGGCCGGTCAGGGTCGGCAGGGTCGGCAGTGCCGACCCACACCTTTATAGATATTATAGATTTTTTTAATATTTAATTTAATCAGTATTTCAATAAATAATTGTGGCGGGTAATCAGTTGATGTCATTTGTTTTTGTGAAATAAAAAAATATCTGTGTGATAATTAACGACTAAATTTTATTCATGGTTTTTAAAAGAATTCGACCAATTCGACCAGACTAAATTTTATTCATGGATTTTAAAAGAATTCGTCCAATCTGAGCGTTAAGTGATCTCTGCGTAGACACTTGTCAAATTGATGATCCGATATCGGAGACATCCATCCTCCTGTTAATTCTTAAAAAGGCCCGTTTTTTTTTCGGCAAGCCGATCCCAGCCTTGACGATTTACTTGTAAAAATCAACGGAATATTAGTTGATTAGCAACCAAATATACATTTATTTCCATATGAACTTAATTACCAAGTACGGCAGATTTAAATTTGACGATGTTTGAGCGCGGGATGAAATGCGATTTCATATAAGAAAGTAAGTGGTAAAGTGTTATTCAGTGCACGAACTAGCCTTTCTTTTTGTGATTTATTTTTATTTTCTAAAGTAATACTGTGATACGGTACGTCTGCCGTAAATAGGTAAAGGTTAAAGGGTTTTTTGACATATTAGAAGTTTTTTTTAAATTAAAGTGTAAACAAATTCAGGTAAATTAACCTAAAAAATGCAAGCCATGGGAGAAACGGTAAGTATTGATAAGTCTGATATTGTAAATTATATTTTGCATACTGGGTTTTCATCTATTCCATACGAAGAACAAATTGTTATTAAAAATAAGGGGCGTCCTTTGCCTAAAATGTCCCGGCTTATAAATATTAGTGCACGTAAGGGAAGTAATAGATCATTTTCAGATAATTGGTACAGCAAGTTCTCATAGCTTACCGGGAGTGAAATAAAAAACAAACTTTTCTGTTGGTCTTGCATTTTATTTTCGTCAAATAGGGGCAAACATCAAAATCCGTGGTGTGAATCTGGTTACAATAATTTAAAGGAATTATTTAGGGCTTTATATAAACATGATATTTCGAAAGATCATACTTACAGCCAGATTAAATTAGATTTATTTGGAAAACAAAATATCTATGTTTCATTAGATAATGCCCAACGTGAAAATGCTATTAAGCATAACGAAATTGTAAAAAATAATCACGCAGTTTTACGTCGTTTAATTGATATTGTATTTTTTAAGTTGTCAGGAATTATCTTTTAGGAGACACGATGAATCGGAGCATTCGTTAAATCAAGGTAATTATAGAGAACTAATAAAAATGTTTAAGAAATACGATTTGGAATTTTCTAATTTACTTTCTGATTCAAAGACATTTAGCGATGTATCTAAAACAATCCAGAATTAATTCATAGAATCAATTAGTTACATTTTGAGTAACGTTATTGAATCTGAGATTCAGGAAACCATTTGCTTTTCACTAGAAGTAGATGAAACTACTGACATATCATGTCATTCACAATTATCAGTTGTTGTTCGATACGCGTTACGTGGTAATATCTATGAGAGGTTTTTAGGTTTTACAGACGTGAGTAAAAGACATAAGGCAGAATATATTTTTGGTGTTTTAAAGGACAGATTAAAATTTTTTGATATAAAAAATAAATTGGTATGTATGTATGATATAACAAATAAATTGTCTCAAATGTCAATAGAAAAAAAACTTTTAAAATCTCTCCAAAACTCTATAATAAATTTTACGATGACGTTATTACCCATTTTGCTACTTCCAAACAACGTAGACTAGAGTTAATTTATAAACATGTTTAGGTTCTAAATTTATAGGAAAAACAAAAAAAAAAACAAAAAACAAGAAAACAAAACATCTGCTATGATGATTGAAGTCTTTATTAGACGGTATACCTATCTGAGGAGACAAAAAATACCTTGCCGACCTTGTCTCTCAAGCCACGAGCCGCCACTGACTGCTTCACGTGTACCCAGTCCGCTCTTAAAACCAAATTGTGTCCCACCGCTTATATCTTCAAGCTTTCTGAACATTCTTGTATGCAAAGGATGCGAAGAAACACCTTAAGCAAATGGCTCAATAAACTTATTAGTCTGTGGTCTTTGCATTTTGTCACTCTCTGATTTAGAGATCATTATAAAGGTTGAATAAAGCCAATCCGTTGGAATGTGGCCGGTGTTATATATGGCATTAAAAATTGTTACCAGCATGTCGATGTTACCATCTTTCAACAGTTTTATGGCTTCCGTAGTAATTCCATCCGGTCCAGGGACCTTGCCTAGTTTTGCTATTTTTATAGCGTACTCCACCTCGACGCTAATAATGGGAAGGCCAGATAAATTTTCCGTGGGTAAGTTAGTAGTTGACAGATTCGGTCTATTATCAGCAAAGAGGGAGGAAGCATAGTTTGCCCACATTTTAGATAGTTCTTCTTGGGTATGGGATTTCGTATCATATGAGCTGGACGATCTCCTGATGTTCGCCATGTATGCAATCTTCTTGGTGGGAGTTGATACCACGTATTGGATTTGACGAAATCGTGGTCATTACAAAATTCAATTAGTAACTCTCCTCGCTCATTTTCGTTACCTAGACGGAAATCACATATCGCATTACCACATCTACCTCTATCGACTTTGGCATCAAAATCACTCATTATGATGTTGATATCATTTTTCCTTTGTAACCTTAACCTCCTTTAAGTCTTTATAGAAATCTAAAACTTCAGTTTCCGGTTTATCAGATGTGGGTTTGGATTAGATTTATATTAATAGGTTGACCGGCTAACTTCAATATGATGACTCTGTTTGAAACAGGTATGTAATCTATAACAGACATTGCAATTCTATTATCAAGCACTATTGCAACTCTGTGTATGTGGTAATTATCTGTGGCGTCGCTACCGGAATAGTACACTCTAAAGTTGTCTTTGTGAGAAATACCTGAGCAAGACCACCTCAATTCACTTACACCTATTGCTTTCACTTCTAGGCGCTGCATTTCTTTGAGCAGGTTATGTAACTTTCCTGAGGTGCACAAACCATTGACGTTCCATGTCGCTACTTTATGAATAACATCTTGTCGCACCCAGCTATTTTTAGCACCCTCGGAGCATCTAAGGTCTGCCCGGGACTGAGGACTTTTGCTTCAATTTTGTCCAACATATAAGATAATTTTCCAGGGATATCCGTAAGGATCTGTAGTGGTTTCCCCTTACCTTCTACATCTTTATGCCGTTGGCCAAATTTTGGTTTATCTGACTTCGAAATTACTGCGAAATTACAAAAATTAAATAAGCGAAATAATAGAATTTGGAGTGTAAAAATATCGCGAATTAAAATTACCGTAGAATCTGTTTAAAAGCACCTGCAAAGGTGAAATTTTATCATAATCGGTCTTGCAGTTTTAGTGAACGAAGGCAACAACATGCGGTGTTACACAGCGGTCACCCATCGCGCGGTTATTAACCGCGCCCGACACTGCTTGACTTCTGTGATCTAACGTAAACCGGTATATTTATTGTGGTATGGCTATTGCCCAATCTGTCAATACTGACATTTATTTTGTTAATCCTAGTTTCCTTTGTTACTCATAGTATGGCGTCATCTATTAGCTATATTGCGATTTAAAATAAGAGAAACTCTGTTTTTAAAGTCTATCCGTACAATTTCTTGAAAATTATCTTTCACACAAACCTTCTCCTGATAAAAACAAACACAACAAAAAAGAATTATCTAATTTGGTGCAGTTCGTAGACTTGAAGTTAAACGTCACTTTATGTTCACATAAACTTCAACTGTAAAGGTAAAGTCGTATAAAACATTTTGTATAAGAGTATAATGTAAATGTTTGTATGGGAAATAAATCCGTTGCTTCTACTGTTTTCTCATCTATTAGACCTTCTTAGGACTTCAAATGAATATTTCAAAACGA